CTACACCATCTAATCCTGTCTCTCCTTTCCTGCCTTTCCTCCATCCTCATTTCTTCCCGGGAGTAACCACTGCCCTGATTTTCTATTTGTGTTTTCTTTACTTTTGCTTTTTTCTTTCTACTACATATGCATGTATCCCTAAGTCATGCATAGCTTTGCATGATTTTGACCTTTCAGTCGTAAGAATTAGTGTGGATGAATCTCAGTGTTGAGTGCAGAGGGCAAGTTGCACGAACCACAGAGTAAGAAGCCATAAGAACACTTGGTACAGGGGAGTGCAGTTAGTAATCCACATTAAATACTATTTTTTTCTTTTTTTTAAAGATTTATTTTTATTGTCAAGACAGATTTACAGAGAGAAGGAGAGATAGAGAGAAAGATCTGCATCTGTCAGCTCACTCCCCAAGTGGTTGCAACGGCTGGACCTGAGCCAATCCAAAGCCAGGAGCTTCTTCTAGATCTCCCATACAGGAGCAGGGTCCCAAGGCTTTGAGCCATTCTTTGGGCTCTCCCAGGTCATAAGCAAGGAGCTGGATGGGAAGTGGAGCAGCCGGGACGTGAACAAGCTCTCCTGTGGTATTCCAATGTGTGCAAGGCGAGGATTTAGCCATTAAGCTGTTGTGCCAGGCCCTAAATACTGTTTTGTATTAACCATGTGGTTAATGGATTGGAAGTAGTGAGACTAGATTGGGAGAGCAGTTAGAAGAATGCTACAGCCTTCAGTGATAGCTCGATGATAGCTGTAGCCTCTTACAGAGAAATCTCACATAGACCTTAAACATGGGGTCTTAGCCCTGCCAGCCTCTGACCTAGCTGTTCCTGCAGTAGGGCAGCAGGCTTACATTTATGTTTGTGAAGGCAAAACAAAGTCGTGCCAAAATGCAAGATAAATGCAGGCTGGTGTTCTGTAACATTATAACTTGCTGCCACTCCTTCATCCACTTGCTGTTGTACGCATAGATGCTTAGTAAATGTTCGTTGAATAAATGATCAGTCTGATCTGAAAGTAGGATAATGGACTTCACTCATTGCTTTTCATACATCGTCAAACCTCTCTTTGTGAACATTTTTTTAGAGTCTAAAATAAGAGGCCAAACTCTGTACCAGATACTTGGATGTGGTTGTCTTGCTATCACTTTAAACTTGTGTGTGTAATGACACCTGTTCTTCCGTCCTGCTGTCTTCCATTTCTGGTGATGCCACCACCACTGACAATGCGGAGGCACAAAGCACTGGAATTATCTTGTAGTACTTCTGAGCCCTAGTCCCTGGGGTGCTTCATGTCCCCATTGATGTCTGCAGGGTTTCTCGTCACTGTTTCCCCTCTGCTGTCTGTTAGCTAATGCTTCAGCTAACCCTCAAGGAAGGCACTGCTTGCATCCTCTTCTGGGCATGAAATCCAGTCTTCTTTTGGACTTGGATTTGTGATTCTTTTCTTTTGCTGTTTGTAGATCCAGTCTCTTGACCTGTTTTTTTCTAGGCTTAGAATTTTAGGATGTGGATTGAATGGACTGTTCCTTTCTTATTCATTCACTCTTACTTGTGACCTCAGTCCTAGGAGACCAGATGCTGGTGTGTGAGACAGATGAGACACCTGGCAGCACATGGCCTTCAGCACAATTTGTATACCACCCATCTTACCAGGGTTCGATGTTCTCTGATGGAGGTTGCTGCAATTAAAAAAAATTAAGACTTTTTTTTAATAGAAAGGCAGATCTATAGAGAGGAGTGACAGCGAGAAGGATCTTTCATCTGCTCACTCACTCCCCAAGTGGGTACAATGGCCAGACCGAAGCCAGGAGCCAGGAATCTCCTCTGGGTCTCCCACGTGGGTACCGGGTCCCAAGGCTTTGGGCCAGTTTCTACTGCTTTGCCAGGCCACAAGCAGGAAGCTGGATGGGAAGTGGAGCAGCTGGGACACAAATTGGAGTCCATAAGGGGCCCCAGTGCAGGCAAGGCGAGGGCTTTAGCCACTAGCAACAATTCAAAAAAGTGAAAATTCCTAAGGTTTTGACTCCTGCATCTTGCTGGAAAGGTGTGGAGGCAGTGGAGTTGGAGCCAGTGATGTCAGTGTTTAGTTACTTCTCCTTACCAATGTAGCAGTGATGCAGGTTTGGAAGATAAAGTGGAGGGGTTCAATCAGTTTGTTAAACACACACACACATATGATGCCCGTTGCACTGGGATGAGCATAGCTGTCCAAAATCAAAATTGACAGTTATTTAACACTACTTTTAGGAAGGTGGGAATCAGAGTAGGCACAAGCTGAGCTTGCAGGTCATGGAGGAGAGCATGTGAATCACTGTGGGGCTTGTCAGAGAAGCCAGGGCGTGGGGTGGGTGAGAATTGGCTGGTGGATGGGGGCTTGGAGGATGTGTTTGATCTGTGACCAAGATAGCTCCAGGGAACCATGGTTCCAGCAAAAGCGGGGCTTTTGTTTCTCGATCTGGCACCTGTGTAATCAGGTAGTTCTGGTTCGACAGGGCCCCTGAACAGCAGCCTGTACTCATAGTTGGCTCTGAGGTTAGGCCCCCTAGGTTCAGATTTCAAGTCTGCATCTTTCTGGCTTTGGGAACTTGGGCAAGTTACTTGGCTTCTGTGGGCCTTGGCCTGTGCTAAGTAGTTCTGTCATCTACTTCATGAAAGTCAAGATTATGTAAGTTAAATTACGGAAAGTACTTATAACTGCAATGCAGAGTGATCAATAAAAGTTTGCTATTGTTACTGTTATTTAAAATTTATGTATTTACTGTAAGGGCGGATACACACACATGCACAAAGAGAGAAAGTCAAGAGTTCACATCTTGCAGTAGCAGGGCTGACCCAGATCAGAGTATGGACTGGAAATTCAATCTAGGTTACCCATGTGGGACAGGGCAGGGACCCAGCTGCTTTAGCCATGACTGTTGCTGTGTTAGCAAGAAGCTTGGGGCAGAAGCTGGTATTCAGCTAAGCGGAACCTAGAGAAACAGTACAGTGTGGGCTAGGTGTTGAACCCAGGTATTCTGGTGTGGGATGTGGACATCTTAATTGGCATAGTAACCATGAGTCTAAATACTTATTTTTGACTATTTACATTAGCCTAGAGCAGGGATTAGAAAACTACAGCTGTGAGACCAGGCTCTGATTTGCTGTTCATTTTTCAAATAAAGTTTTGCTGGAGCACAGTCATGCCAATTCATTTTGAGTATTGCGTTTGGCGGCTTTCATGTATTACAAGGGCTAAGTGACTGAAAGTCTGAAGTATTTGCTATTTGGCCCTCATAGGAGAGAGAATCCTTTATGGAAGACGTTTCATCAGATAGTACATGGCCCTGTGTAGAGGATGTTCAGAGACCAAAGGAAAGGCATTCGTGGCACTCATCTTTCAGTGACTGCTTTTGAACCCATCCTTTCCCCCTGAAACTGGCATCTGGGTGCAGCAGCTCTTGGGTCTGTGCTGCACGAGCTGCTCTCTGCTGGGAGACTGTGATTCCCTTCATGCCCCAGCTGCTCTTCTGTTGCATGATTTCAGGCAGTGGCAGGGCCAGGTTTGGTGGGTGGGTGAGCTTCTCACGGGGTGCATAGTTTAAGTGCCCCTCAAAATTTGTTCATCGAGAGTAAGTAGTCTGTTAATTCAGTGTTATGAAAGATAAAAATGAGTGCAAAAAGTCCATAATGAGCAAAATACCAATATTTTATTATGTCCTTTTTGGGGGGAGATCAATAAAATGTATTTTTTCAATACAGCTCTAGTTTTATGAAGACGTGACTCAAATAGAAATTGGATATATTTAAGTTTTATAATGTAAGATTTTGATATAGGTGTATGTTGAGTAATGATTACTCCAGGGAAGCCTGTTAGCCTATCCATCACCTGACATGGTAGCATTGTGTGTGAGTATGTGGGTGTATGTGAGTATGTGAGTGACATATAAATACTATATTAACAAGTTAGAAGTGTGTAATGCACTTTTAACTACAATGACTTCACTTTACATTGAATCTCTAAAACTGAACTTCCAGCTAAAAGCTTATTCCCATTTTCCTCACCCCCAATCCCTGGCAGCCTACGTTGTACTGTGTTTCTCTGAGTTCCACTTTGCTGAATGCCATACCTAAGTGACGAAACATGAACATTTTTAAATAAAGAGAGAATCGATATTACTGATCCCCTCCCCACAACCCCGGCTGTACTATTGGTTGCTATAGCATTGGACAGCAGGGAGCAGGGATCCCCCCCCCAACACCCCTTATGCCACAGCCCACTCCCAGACATTCCTTCTCTCTGCACACATGTAGGAGAGAGAGTTGTCAGCTTCAGAGGAACCTGCTGGCTGATCAAATCTAATGACATCTGAACAGGTCCATGTCTGCCTATTTTCATAAAGCGTAATTATGCATATTTTCTTGAACTGAAACTCATCATAGTGATCTGTGCCTAGTTTGTGGAATAAAATGGTGAAATGAATATTTTCCTAATTTTTCAGATGGTTCATCTGAGATATTCCAACAAGAGAACTGAAACATACATTAGTATAATAGCATTGGCTAACCAAAGCTGTTTACCAAGAGATCTGAAAGGATCATCTGATTCCTATAAGCTTTTTCTAAGAAAGGCCAAATAGGTATATTAATTGAATTTTTAATACGTTCTGATAAACACTGACCCAGTAAGCTTTTTGGATAACAACTTTCTAATCTGCCTTGACATTTCTTTGTAGTGCTGCAAACGGTGATTTGTGGGTAGGTTTAAAAATAGGTATACTTAGTGTGAAGGTCTGGAAGTATTCCACAGAATAGTGTTAAGGTGGAATGGAGTCCTATCTATGGGGAATAAATATGGAGGACCGGGCAAGGTCACCTTTCCATTTGTCAGGCAGCTTATTATGGTTAAAGGACTTTGATGTTTTGATGAAGTAAATTACTTGTTTTAACTAGCTATCACTGTAATAAAGAGATGAAATGTAATATTGAACTTGATGCCCTTTTGCTTTCTAAACACATTAAAATGTTTTTAGGTATATAGTGTTGATTGGAGCCAAACCAGAGGTGAACAGCTCGTGGTGTCTGGCTCATGGGATCAGACTGTCAAAGTGGTATGTCAGCATTAATGTGTTTAAAGACAAATGCTCTGAATCCTTTCTTTTCCACAATACACTGTAATTTCATGGACCATTAATTTTCTTTTCAAGAAATGTATTGAAATGTTTACGAGAATTTTAAATTGTCTGCTTTTGGCTTTTATTAGTTCAGCATAGATTATTTTGGCCCCTTAATGTGAGTAAATCTTGCTTTATATAACAATAGGTATTGATGCTGTATCTATTGCTTGTGTATGTACATTGTATATCATAGATACATAGTGTATAAAAATGCATGAGTTTGTATCTCCCTCTGTTTGTTTGTAGTGGGACCCAGCTATTGGAAAGTCTCTGTGCACCTTCACAGGCCATGAGAGTGTCATTTATAGCACAATTTGGTCTCCTCACATCCCTGGCTGTTTTGCTTCAGCCTCAGGTAAATGTCTGTTTACCAGAGCCTTCTGTGCAGTAGAGGGTGCCCTTGTTTTCCCCATTAGGTGGTGCTGTGTGCCCTGGATTCAGGGAGAAACCCGGAGTCAGGTACTCTTCTCCTGTGCTCCTAACACCATTTCATTCATTACTGTTGATGGGATCAGCTGGGACCCAGTTTGTTTCTCAGTGATTTTGTCTCTTAGAGAATAATTCAGTTTCCTGGTGAGGACATATCCATGGATGGAGATAAGAAAAAACATTTGCAAAAGAAGCTCTTGAGTTTTGTTTTAGAACACTGTTAAATCTGTGAGGCGTATGTAGGTGCTGGTTGCCTTGTGACCCAAAATTGTGCCGTTGGTTCTTCACTGGTAACTGAAGTGACTGCAGGACTAAAGAGAAGAAGCTGGAATTGGAGCAAAGTTTGGCAAACTACTACCCTCACTTCATAGTGACTGACTCAAGGACAGTTTTTGTAAATAAAGTTTTATTGGCTCACCACCATGACTATTCCTGTGATGTATAGTGGCAGAGCTGAGTAGTTGTGGCCCTCAAAGCCAAAAGGGCTGGCTGATGCTTTGTGGGAACTGGTCGCTCTCACCTGTGCTGGAGTCTTGAGGGGAGATCAAGAAATGGAAGCCCTTGTGGTCAGTTGATGTTTAAGACAGCAGCTGGAGGAAGTAACAGTGTGCTTTTGTAATTGTCTCCTCATTTAATTAACCCACATCCAGACAAGCAATAAGTAGGATAATTGTACCCTACTTGCAAATAAACTGTATCAATGCCCTGAGTTAAAATGCACTGAGTGGCTTCTGAAGGAAATAAGATGTCACAGAAATCCTTTCCATTAGTTGATGTTCTTGTTTTTCTTTGAGCTGGGGTATGTGGTTGACCCTTATGGTTTGGAAAGTAGCATCCTTTGTCAGAATACCTGAATTTAGTGCTGAGCTTCTGACCCCAGCTCCCTCCAAGGTGTTCTGTGGAAGACAGTGGTCATGGCTCAAGTCACTGGGTTTTTCCCACCCATGTGCAAGACGTGGATTGAGTTCCCAGCTCCCCTCTTTGGCCATCATCAATAGTTCTAGGCCTTTGAAGAGTGAACTAGCAGGTGGAAACTCACTTGTATCTCAACTCTCAAATAAAAAATTAAAATTTGTCAGGCTGGCATAGTGACCAAACAGGCTAATCTTCCACTTCCAGGTGCTGAAATCCCATGTGGGTGCCAGTTTATGTCCTGGCTGCTTCATTTCCCATGTGGCTCCTTGTTTATGGCCTGAAAAAATGCAAAGTGTGGCCCAAGTCATTGAGACCCTGAACTTACATGGCAAACTCGAAAGCAGTTCCTGACTTAGGATCCCTGTGGCTGCAGCCGTTGTAGTGAGTTGGGAAGTGAACCAGCAAATGGAAAATTGTTTTTTCTTTCTCTCCTTTTCTCTCTGCAACTCTAGCTTTCTAAAAAAAAAAAAAAAAGGATAAGTTTTTTAAAAAGTTGATTTTTTAAAATGACCACATTTTCCAAATCTTGAAGTATTATTAAATTGAAGGCACTCAGAAATGGAAACCTTATGTAAGCTGTATATACTCAAATATATGCATGTAGATTATGTCATTTTTTGAGATCTTGATAGTGACTAACCTATTTAGAGTCTCAATCTAAGAAATATTTTCTTTTATAAGAATTACCAATATTATTTTCTAAAATGATTTTTAAAAACAATTTGCAAAATTGTTACTGTTTTTAAATTAAGTTATCTAGATCATAGCTGTTTTGCTCATAACCTAAATTAAATTTTTTAAAAAGCATATCAAGTTTTGGGCCCTACATGATAGCCTAGTGGCTGAATCCTTGTCTTCCGTGCCTGGGATCCTGTATGGTTACCAGTTCTAATCCCGGCTGTGCAACTTCTCATCCAGCTAGCTCCCTGCTTGTGGCCTGGGAAAGGAGAGGATGGCCCAGTGTAGGACTTTCAAAATCTTTGCTATTGTAGGAGACAGAGCCAGTTGAATCTCCCCTGAAATCACCAGGGGCAGTTGATATGGAGATGAATCAGCAGGAGACCTCCTAGTTCGCAGGTTTAGATAAAGGAACTGCTAGAGGATTGGGAGACCTTGCTGTTGAGGTGCAGATAGCTCAAGCCCCTCCTCCCTGAATGCCTACCTTACAACCTTGTTTTAAAAGTCTGGTGCTCTTAATAAAATTTGAGTATTGACCATCAGTCAGTAGTGCACACATGTTACTATTGTCTTTGTGCACCAAGCAGTTGCTGATTGACAGCTAACAGCCCAGGACCTTGAAGGGACCCTGTGTCCCACATAGGAAATCCAGAAGAGGCTTCTGCCTCTTGGCTTCAGATTGGCTCAGCTCCAGCTGGTGCAGCCACTTGGGGTGTGAAACAGTGGATAGAAGATCTTTCTTCTCTCCTTTCTGTATATCTGCCTTTGTAGTAAAAATAAATCAGGTCTTTTGGGAACGGGACCAGTGATAGATTTTCCTCCTCATATTTCCTTTTTTAAGGCTGAATTTTTTTTAAAATATTTTATCATTCTGTACCATAGCTAATCATAAAGCTGGGTGTGTATTTAAGTCAATGGTAGCAGTGTTAATGCATTTAATTCGAGTTAATGAACCCTTTAACCTGCATATAGTGTAAATGCTGAGTTTCCTATTTATTGTTAATCAGAGCTGTAAGATGACCTCAGCTCAGTTTAAGGGTTATAATTTTACCATTGCCAGAAAAACCCCAACACTGAGAGTGTTAGTCCAAAATGAATTAAAATTCCTGTAAGGGTGTGAATTAGACTGAGATCAGCATCATTTTCTTTAGAATAGAAAGTGCTTCGGCCATAACTATGGGGCAGAGAAGTCATTCCAAACCCTGAAATTAGAGGTAAAAATAGATGCACCTGCAAAATGGACAGAAGCATGCTTTCTTTCTAGAGAAACAGTCTTTGTCTGTTGGGTGGTTCTGATTGGGAACATTCACAGTTAAACCAAAATTAATAAGGAGTACAATTTTACATATGTGGAAAAACATATTGAATAAACTTCTTAAATGCCTGAGAGGTTTTTAAAGATTCCCTTTTCCTACTATTGTATGTTAGCTTGTTAATTTATATTATTATGTAGAGTGCTGAGATTGTCTTCATGTTTGAGATCATTATTCTTTATATGCCCATGGCTGGATGTGAAATCTTGTATCAACAAAATCGTGAGCTAATATAGCTGTATTTATTTAAACACCGGGCATGATTGTGTGTATTAGCCCTTGTTTGGGCTGACTCATACACCTCTTCCTTTACACTGGCTTTTGTGTAACATGGTGTGCTCACATGTAATATTGACTGTGGATATTGCATATGGAACATTTATTTGGTGTGCGAGACCAAATAGCAGAAAAAAGATTAATTGTTTGTAAAGGGTAAGCAAGATCATTATAAAACTTAACATTTGAGACTTTGCACAGTGTAAATGGGCACTATAAAAAACAGTGTTATCATCAGAGTAGCCATTTGCTTCCATGGAAGAAAAGACCATTTGTTTAATTGTGTTGCCTTCAATGTTGTGTTAGAAGTTGATATAAATAGTGATCTTATCAGCCAGGAATTCTTTAGTTGAAAATGTGAGAAACCTTGACCAAAACTGTCTTAAGGGAAAAGATAGTTTATTTGCTCATGTAGTTGAAAAATTAAAAATTAGAGCTGGCCTGTAAACAGGGCTCTATCTTCTATTGGAGTCATCATTAGGTAACAAGTGATGATTATGTTGGCAGCTCCAATTCCTGTGCCCTTTCTGGTTTCTGTCCAGTAGGAGTAGGTGAACGATTCTTAGACATCAAGGAAGGTTTCATGTTTTCTTGTTGACAAATGTTTCCACGTGGACATGTGAACGTTCCTGAACTTAGTGTGCTTAGGGGAACACATTGTAATGCTTTGATTGATTTAAGCCCAGCCTAATTCTTGAAGTGAAAATGGAAGACATTGGTACTAAACTACATACTCAGAGCATACAAACAATAACCTTGATAGGTTGGAAATAGGTAGATAAACTTTAGCATCAAAGGCTTAAAAAGAAGTGATGGGATTTAATGATAATAAAGCACTGAATCTGTAAGCTATGAAATAGCATTTTTAAAAAATAGATTTATTTATTTTTATTTGAAAGGCAGATTTACAGAGAGAAGAGATAGAGAAGGTCTTCTATCCATTAGTACACTCCCCAGATAGCTGCAATGGTCAGAGCCTGAGCTGATCTTAAGCCAGGAGCCTCTTCCAGGTCACCCAGGTATGTACAGAATCCCAAGAATTGGGATCATTTTCCACTACCTTCCTAGGCCATAAACAAAGAGCTGGATTGGAAATGGAACAGTCAGGACACGAACCTGCACCCATTTGGGCTGCTGGTAGCACAGGTTAGAGGATTAGCCTGTTGAGCTATGGTACTGACCCCTGAAATACATGTCTTAAAAAAATCTGCCAGTGCTTGAATGCAGCGGGTAAAGCCGTCACCTGTGGCAACAGCATCCTTTACAGGTGCCATTTTAAGCCTTTGCTGCTTGACTTCCAATCTAGCTCCTTGCCAATGTGCCTGGGAAAGCAGCAGAAGATGACCCAAGTGTTTAGGCCCCTGCACCCAGGAGGGGGACTCAGAATAAGCTCTAGGATCTTGACTTTGTACTGGCCCAGGGCCCAGCTCCCGTCACTCTGGCCATTGAGGGGTTGATCACTGGAGGGAAGATCTCTGTCTGTGTCTCTGTCTCTCTGTAACTCTGCCTTTCAAATAAATAAATCTTTAGAAAATTAAAGCAATCTTTCAAAATGTTTTCTATGAAATGGAATACAGCAAACCTCTTTTCTGCCAGCTTTCATGATTTAGGAAATTCAATGGAAGAGTGATTTATCAAACATTTGGCATTTCCTGAAATAATCTTGGTGATGATTTTCAAATATTAGCATACTTAATAAGTGTGAAAAAATTTTAAGTTTCTCTTTAGCTTTGCAAAAATAGTG